TAGTAGTAGTAGTAGTAGTAGTAGTAGTAGTAGTAGTAGTAGTAGTAAAGTTGGAAGGGACCTTGGAGGTCATCTAGTCCAACCCCCTGCTCAGGCAGGAAACCCTATACCATTTCAGACAAATGGCTGTCCAGTCTCTTCTTAAAAACTTCCAGTGTTGGAGAATTCACCACTTCTGGAGGCAGGTTGTTCCACTGGTTAATTGTTCTAACTTAGTTCTAGGTTGCTTCTCTCCTTGGTTAGTTTCCATCCGTTAACATAATAGGCATCATAACAGAGTTGGAAATGACCCTAGAGGTCTTCTAGTCCAACTCCGGGGACTATTTTATCTTAATAAATTTTATCTTTAATTTTATCTTAATAAAATTCCCATAAAGGCACATGTCCCAAGCCCATCATCCCAGGAAAAGATCCCAGTTTCTAAACCACGTATGAAGACCATGAAGATTAGGAGAATGTGGACATTGGAGCAATAACATTAAAGGGCAAGCACTACGACCAAGAAAATGCATAACTGAAAAAACTGGGAATCCCCATTTAAGCAAAATCATGACTAGACAGACGATTTTCTGGACATTACCTTTGGTATTTGAATTTCCCAGATAACAAGCTCTGCCTTATTGCAGTCTGTTCCCATCTTAGCATTAGGGCAGCTGTCATTCTTGCGGAGAGCACAACCGCTGTCCACCGAGTCCATGCTGTTCACGTCAGAGCCTAAAAAAGAAAATCAGCCACGTTCCTTCACTTACAGGGTGTTGAAATGCTGGGCAACGGTATTGCAACAAACTCAAGGTCTGGTCCTGTCATTCCAACTTTCTCCTTTTACATAAGGAGCTACAGAGATGGGTAGAACAAACTTCTCTAGCGAGATGATGTCCCTTCAGTCAGTCAGTCAGTCAGTCAGTCAGTCAGTCAGCCAGCCAGCCAGCCAGCCAGCCAGCATCTGTCTGTCTATCTTAACTGTCTATCTTGTCTGTCTGTCTATCTTGTCTGTCTGTCTATCTTGTCTGTCTGTCTATCTTGTCTGTCTGTCTGTCTGTCTGTCTGTCTGTCTGTCTGTCTGTCTGTCTGTCTGTCTATCTATCTATCTACCTACCTGTCTATCATCTGTCTGTCTGTCTGTCTGTCTGTCTGTCTGTCTGTCTGTCTGTCTGTCTGTCTGTCTGTCTGTCTGTCTATCTGTCTATCTATCTATCTATCTATCTATCTATCTATCTATCTATCTATCTATCTATCTATCTATCTATCTATCTATCTATCTACCTGTCTATCATCTGTCTGTCTGTCTGTCTGTCTGTCTATCTATCTATCTATCATCTACCTACCTACCAACCAATCAATCAATCAATGGTAGTCCTCAACTTATGACTGTAAAGGAGCCTGGCCATTATGGTCATAAGTAGTGATGGTTGTAAAGGAGATCGCCACATGACTGGACCCATTTTTCTAACCTTTTTTTGCAGTTGTTGTTAACCAAATGCCACAGTTGTTAAGTGAACCCACTGTTCACTATGGGCCATTTTTGCAAAAAAACTGGAAGTAAAAACCGATTTTTAGCAAATATACTGTATCTTAAATTGTGATCATGGGACACTCCAAACAGACATATATGCAGGATGATTGCCAAGCACCCGAGACCAGAGGAGGAAACAACGGTCAGAACTTTGGAACTGGGTCACAAATAGCTTCTGGGTGGTCTGTCTTAACTTCAGTCATAAATCAAGGACTACCTGTACAGTGACGTATGACCGCTTTTCACACTTATGGCTTTTGCAGCATCCCCATGGTCATGTGATCAAAATTTGGACACTTAGCATGTATTTATGACGGTTGCAATGTCCCAGGGTCATGTGACCATCTTTTGTGACCTTCTGATAAGCAAAGTGAATGGGGAAGCCAGATTCACTTAACAACCGGGTTACTAACTTAACAACTGCAGTGATTCACTTAACAACTGTGGCAAGAAAGGTCTTAAAATGGAACAAAATTCACGTAACAAATATTTCACTTAGCAATTGCGGTTGTAAGTTGAGGACTATCTGGAAGGTACTAGATTCAGAAAGGTGCGAAATAACTTGGATAAGAAGCACGGAGGAACAATTGTTTCTCATCTTACACTGGAATCCAAATTCTCCCCAGGCCAGGCAATCTCTCATGGATCTACCTACCTCACAGGGTTGTCACTGGGGAGAAAAGTGAGAAGAATAGCTACGACTGCTGCCCTGACCTTCTAACTGAAAGGCGAATATAAATCTGATTAAAAAATGCATAGACCTGACCAGTTCGTCCATCCGCCAAAAAGGAACACGTATGGGCCCACAAGAACCATTATTTATTAAATTTATATATTGCCCATCTTACTATCCAAAGCAATGAAGGTAGCTTGAGATAAGAAAAGACTGACATTTTTCTGATTATTATGAGATGGTAAACTCTGTAGGACAGGCATGTCAAACTGCCGGCCCGTGGGCCGGATGCGTCACTCTGAAACCGCGTCTACCCCATTGCCAGCAATGGGGAAAAAGTCGTGATACGTCGTGCGACATCACGTGATGTCGCGAATTTGACATGCCTGCTCTAGGATGTATCTAGTTACTATCTCCATCAACATCCCCAGTGTTTAAGAATAGTTTACTATAACATTTTCTTTTTCTTTCTTTCTTTCTTTCTTTCTTTCTTTCTTTCTTTCTTTCTTTCTTTCTTTCTTTCTTTTTCTTTCTTTCTTTCTTTCTTTTTCTTTCTTTCTTTCTTTCTGTCTTTCTCTCTCCACCCTCTCCTTTCCTTTTATCTATCTATCTATCTATCTATCTATCTATCTATCTATCTATCTATCTATCTATCTATCTATCTATCTATCTATCTATCTACCTACCTACCTACCTACCTACCTACCTACCTACCTACCTATCACATTTTGAAACTGCCCATCTGCCTCACAGAGTATCTCTGGGCAGTGTACAGTAAAATATTAAAACCTTAAAAAGTATAAAAAAAATCAAAATTTAAACAGAGAAAGGATGATTAAAAGCCACATTAAAATTAATTTTAGATCCACGGTTGCATGTTCTTTTGCACTCCCCATGCAAGACTGCAGAGGCATGCTCTCACATCTTTCTGAAATGTCTGGAGATTGGGGGGCTGCCTCACCTCGGGGGGAGGGATATTATGAGCCTTAGGAGGAGAGTTGTGGAAAAAACTCCCTTTTCCCAATTTTGTTGTTAGTTGCAAAGTCATGTCCGACCCATTACAACCCCATGGACAACGATCCTCCAGGCCTTCCTGTCCTCTACCATCTTCTGGAGTCCATTGAAGCTCACGCCTACTGCTTCAGTGACTCCATCCAGCCACCTCATTCTCTGTCGTCCCCTTCTTCTATTGCCCTCCATCTTTCCTTTTTCCAGTTACAACTCCTGAATCCAAGCATCTACCAGTAATTCTCATTGAGGCAGCAGAAATTAGAAAAACTGTTATATTCTGAAAAGAGCACAGACTTTACATATAGAAAATTCATAGTTTGGGCTGCTTTGAAGCCAACTTTAGATGCTATGCCTGGATTCACATTGCTTATTTTAATTTGTAGACCACCTGACTCCCAATAGCTTTGGTTGGTTTAGTTTTTAGTACTTATCAGTATATATTTGATATATTTATATCTATAATAAATTATGTATACAATATTTATATGGAAAGTATAGATTTATATTTAGTATAGGTTAGACCAGGGGTAGGCAACCTTGACTCTTTTATGACTCGTGAACTTCAACTCCCAGAATTCCTGAGCCAGCATGGCTCAGCTTGGAAACCTCTCCATTTCTCCTCAGCATGGCTGGCTGAGGAATTCTGGGAGTTGAAGACCACGAATTATAAAAGAGCCAAGGTTGCCTACCCCTGGGTTAGACTGTTAGTAAGTATTCTATTAAATCATGGTTTAATAAATAAACCATATTGACACCACTCAAGCCTGAGCCATAAACTCCAGTTTATAAGCCACAAAGGCTCAGTTCATAACTGTATCGAGTCAAAATTAAACAAACCTAATTATGGTTTAAAACCCCCCTAGCTATAAAGATAGCCTTTGACTTACAACCATTCATTTAGTGACTGTTCAAAGTTACAGCAGCACTGAAAAAAATGAGTGCCGAGTGCCCAAATTATGATCATGTGACCCTGGCGATGCTGCGTTGGTCATAAGTGGGAGGCCCAATCATATATCTCGTTTTTCAGTGTCACTGTAACTTTGAATGGTCACTAAACAAATGGTCGTAAGCTGAGAACTACCTGAAGTTCCAACTTCTCCACTCTCCACAACATAGTTTGATGTTTGCTCAAACGATCAAATCCAGAATCAAAATGGGTTTGCTTGGATTTTTAATTCTGGCTTCTAAGATTGGTCAGTCTTAACAATATCTATTTTTCATTAAAAGTCCCCAAATCAAAAATGGGTGATTGAACCTACTCCCTTTTTCTGTCAAAAAAGTCAAAATGGTGGCATATGACTGAAGTTCCTTTTCAATATGCATTTACAACCGGGTGGATTTGACCATCCCAATTTTTTTGACACATGCATATACCCAAATTTCCATTTCCCTGAACTTCACTACAGATTTACTGGTGCTCAGATCCCAATATTTCAAAAAATAAAAAGAAATCTCTCTTAAATAACCACCTTTCCAGTTGTATCCTGAGAAAATTATCCTATCTTTTACCACAGGAAAATAAGAGCAGGCCCTACAGGTAGGCCTTGACTTACAACCACAACTGAGCCCAAAATTTCCATTGCTAAGCAAGACCATTGTTAAGTGAGATTTGCCCCATTTTATGACCTTTTTTTGCCACGGTTGTTAAATGAATCACTGCAGTTTTTAAGGTAGCAATACAGTTGTTAAGTGAATCTGGCTTCCCCATTGCCTTTGCTCGTCAGAAGGCCGCAAAATGTGATCCCATGACCTCGGGACACAGCAACCGTCATAGATACATGCCTGTTGCCAAACATTTGAATTTTCATCATGTGACCATGGGGATGCTGCAATAGTCGTGTGAAAAAAGGTCATAAGTCACTTGTAATGTACAGTGTCCTTGTAATTTGAACTGTCACTAAGTGAATGGTTGTAAGTTGAGGACTACCTATATTTAGTTAAGATGACAGAGAATCCTCACCTCCTGAGTGGTCTGTATCGGCCTCCGTTCGCCACTGCTGTTCGTGGCTGAGAGATGGAAAGTCCTCCTTCATCAGGCCATTGCTGTATGGCACCGTGTTTTCCGTTGATGTGGAGGAAGGTGGCTTCTGGCTCGACATGGACTTGTTCTCTGAGTCTTTGATGGTGGACATGTTCAACAGATCCAGGTGTTGTGGAGGTGGAGATGAAGCACTTTTCAAGAGATCCTCAGCACTAGCCCCATCTTCTGAGGTGCAGGCGCTGCACCCAGAATCTTCCATCACTATGTGACCATCCTCAAACTCCTCCTCATGGTTCGTAGCTGCTGTCAGACTGCCAACAGACCGCCTGGTGGGACAACTGGAGTCTCTGAGCCGGTTGTGACTTCGGTTGACCAGTTGGCCGTGTGTCAAACAACTTGAATACGTAGCATGACGGTTGACGTTCTCCTCCAGGAGGGGAGATACTTCCACATTAGCAGCCTCCTGGTTCACACATTCACCACCCTGGCTGGATTCTGCTTGGCCAACACCTCCAGTGGACATCTTCTCCCGAGGACTATCCACCCGGCTTGCTATTTGGCATATCCTCTCTGACATATCACTGACCGACCCTGATAATACTTCCTCGGTAGCTGCCCGGATGACATTAGAAATGATTTGCATGGCCACCTGCTCAATCATCTCTACTTCTTGTTTGTCCAAACTAATGGCTCCTATCCTCTCTTTCTCCAGATCACCCTTATACCCAACTTCTCTGCATCCATTGTGCTTCAACATGCTACCAATCTTTGAACTGGACGTCATCCCTTCCTCAACCACCTCCGATCTAGTAGGTTCAACACACTTGGTCGGTGTCCCAACTGCAGTCTCTCCTTCGCCACTATTATTATCACTCCCTTCTTCCATTTCAACAGGATCCTTAGGGATCTCACCCGGAACTTCTTCAATTATCTTTCTGGAGCAGGTGACGGGGAAAGAATCCATAGAGGTGGATGCAGAACACTGGTCTTCTTTCAAAGACGTCTCAGATGAACCGATCTGGACCATCACATCTTTGCTACTGTCCTCCCATTTTTCAGAACCAGGAGCTGCCAACAGCCTTTGGTTTGATGCTTGATTGGAATCAGGCTTTCCTTCATCGGCTACCTCACCAGTTTGGGAGTCATCATCTTTTTGTACATCCAGAAGAGAGGTCTTGGGCGAAGGGGAACCAAGCACACCTTGAGGCCCCATCACTTCCACTTCTCCACTGTCGTCCTGAAGTGAATCTGGTTGGAGGGTTGGTATTGCCCCAACAGGAAGGTCTTCTCTCGACGTTTCCAAGCTTTGGGCTCTGTCTTCTGCCAGAGGTATCTGCCATTCCTGAAAGGGTGAATTGCTACACTGCTTGTCCTGCAGAGATGGAGAAAGTTCACTGATCGACTGTCCAGTTTTCCAAGAGCTTGGCTCCTGAGGAGGAGAACATTTCTGGCACTCTTCCAAACTAGGAAGATCTTGCCTGTCGTGGTTACTGACACGCTCCTTTTTACGCGAAGAAAACCACCACCAGCCGATGAGTACCAGCACTCCGGGAATGGTGAACGGCAGCAAATTGCGGATGTGCAGCGCCATTTCATGCACCCTCAGAAATTATACCTGAAAAAGAGAGAGGAAAAAGGGCCATATTAAGATTTCAGTTGTCTAACAATGTTTAGAAAAGGTAGCTTTCCACGTCCTATTCAAAATAACGTCCTATTCAAAATAACTTTCTCAACATTGGCAGCTTGAAGATGAAGCATAGCTGGCTGGGGAATTCTGGGAATTGAAGAAGCAGTGACTTAAACAAAGAAAAAATTAACACACAGCACCATTTCCATCAAGAAGCTCATCTTTAAATTATGTCTTAATTCCTATCAGTTCTGATAACCATAACAAAAGTCATAGCCATTTGAAGGATTGTTCTTCCTTCTAAAAGAAATCTCTAGCCCTGTCTTCTTCAACAAATCTTAGTTAAAACAAGCCACAGCATAGCACAAGGTGGTAAGGGACAATGAAGAGAGAGAGGGAGGGAGGGAGGGAGGGAGGGAGGGAGAGAGAGAGAGAGAGAGAGAGAGAGAGAGAGAGAGAGAGAGAGAGAGAGAGAGAGAACTAATACAGGATAGTCCTCGTTTAGTGAACACAGTTGAGATCAGCAACTTGGTCATTAAACAAACTTGTCACTAAGTGAAACTGGAACTCTGCTTACATCCTCACTTCAGCTTGCCTTGGGTTTACAGACCTGCAAAGGTTGTAAATGTGAGAATGGGCTATAAAGTTACTCTTTCACTGTCGTAACTGTGAACAAACACTAAATGGGGCATTTGCTAAAGGAAGATTCCCTCTACTCTCAAAGCCAAATTCAAAACCATTTTGGTAAGTTAAAAAAATTGGCTGAAAGTAATAACTGTGAAGACAAATATAAATTGCGTTAGAAAACAGTAATCAAAGGCAGGGGGTTACTGAGTTTGGTATCAATACTTAAGGAAGGTTAATTGATTGCAAACTGAATATAAGCCAGAAATGGGTGAGACCTCAAACAAACCATCATTTCCAAATGACAATAAATAATTGTTCGGCTCTGTTTGGCTTCCCAGATTCAGTCCTATGCCCGCTTAAAGGAGGATTTAGAGAAACTGGAACAGGTTCAAAGAAAGGAAATCAGGATGATCAGAGGATTATGAACTAAGTCATAGAGGAGAGACAGACAAAAGTGGGTTTAATTTAACCTTGAGGAATGACTGAAGAAGAACATAATAGGCTCTCTTCAAATACATAACAGGATTTCATATCAGAGGACCAGACCTTTCTCTTACTCCAGAATGTGGAATACCGGATAGCAGATTTAAATGATAGGAAGCTAAATTCCAAGAGAATATCAGAAAAATCTGAACAATAAAAAGTCCCTGGGAGATGATGGTCTTCTCTTTACTGGACCTGTTCAGATAGAGCAGAGGTGGGGAATTATGGCCCTTTTATGACTTGTGGACTTCAACTCCCAGAACTCCTGATCCAGCTATACTATGCTGGCTCAGGAATTCTGGGAGTTGAAGTCCACAAGTCATAAAGGGGCCATAGTTCCCCACCTCTGAGGTAGAGGCTAAACAGACACCTGTTGAGGATGTTTTAATTTGGACAGCTGCACTAAACAGGGGGTTAGACTGGATGACCTCTAGGATCCCTGCTAAAAACCTGCTTCTGTGTGCAACAATCTCCTGCTCCCTTGGGACATTAAAATTTTTAAATGTACAACCAGTGGAACGGCTTGTCTCCCAGAGTATTGGGTGCTCCATCGCTGGAGGTTTTCAAGAAAAGATTGGACAGCCATTTACGCAGGGTGGTATAAGGATTCCTGCCTTGGGCAGGGGGCTGGACTGGAAGACCTTGAGGGTTCCTTCCAGCCCTATCATTCCATGATTCTACAATAAATTTGGGAAAGCTCTGGAAGATACACTCACGGCTTTCCAACAACCATATTCTTGTACAGTTGTCATGATTAAGCACACAGACAAACTGGTCACACGTCAGACTTCCACTTGTAGGAACACATTCACAACTTTGCCATTATGTGAGTGGCAAGCTAGATGCGTGCTAACATATCTTCAGAGGCTGCTGACCAGGATCACACCAATTTTACAGGACTAGAAATTCCCCAGAAGCCAAATGACTTAAAGTTGCAAAATTGAGCTGCAGATTGTTGTTGTGGGGAAAATAGAAGGAGGAAGGAGTACCATGTGTGTTTGCCACCTTAAATTATTTATAAAAATAAAGAAGGCGGGATAGAAACAATCTAAAGAAAACCCAAACCATGCAGAGTAGCACCCTCCAAGATCAAACTCATATTGTCCTAGAATTGTGCAGCAGTTATAGAAGCCTAGGAAAAGATGCAACTTCTCAGCCTTTCAAGGTAGACTAGACTAGGAAAATAAAGTCATGAAGGCTAATACTATTTTTATGGAATGGGATGGAATGGGAATAGGGAATAGGGAATGGAATGGAATGGAATAGAATAGAATAGAATAGAATAGGTCTTTATTGAGAATAGAATAGAATAGAATAGAATAGAATAGAATAGAATATTTGAACAAGTGCAATTAGATGCACAAGGAATTTGTCTCCAATGAATAAGCCCTCAGTGTACATGCAAAACAACAAAGTAATAATAATAATAAAAATGATATTAATATTATTATTATTATTATTATTATTATTATTAATAATAATAATAATAATATCAATAGAGAAGGTAGTGGAACAGATGAGAAGGATAAGAGTAATACAGCCCTACTACATGGGTAAATATCCACAGACATAAGACAGTGCTGTGGGAATTAGGTGTTCAGCAGAGTGATGGCAAGAGGGAAAAAACTGTCTTTGAGTCTAGTTGTTTTAGCATGCAATGCTCTGTAGCGCCACCCCAAGGGGCAGAGTTGAAACAGTTTATGTCCAGGATGTAAAAGGTCTGTATAGAATAGATTTTCTCAGCCCTCTTTCTGTCCCATGCAGTATATTCTACTCTATACACTATTAGTAGAGTAGAAGTAGGAATATAATGGAATGGAATGGAATGGAATGGAATGGAATGGAATGGAGTGGAGTGGAATAGAATAGAATAGAATAGAATAGAATAGAATAGAATAGAATAGAATAGAATCAGGAAGGGATCTCCCCCCTACTCAGGCAGGAAACCCTATACCATTTCAGACAAATAGTTGTCCAATCTCTTCTTTAAAACTTGTATTGGAGCATTCACAACTTCTGAAGACAAATTGTTCCACTGATTAATTGTTATTACTGTCAGGAAATTTCTCCTTAGTTCTAGGTTGCTTCTCTCTTTGGTTAGTTTCCATCCATTGCTTCTTGTCCTGCCCTCAGGTGATACAGTATAGTGCCTAAATCAGACATGTCAAACACAAGGCCCGGGGGCCGGATCCGGCCCGCGAAGCCATCCTGGGAACAGTGAGGGAACGGCCCCCGCTGCCTTGGCCCTGGCCCTGGCCAGCCGGGAGCCAATGTACAATTTTGTGCTGGCCATCTACGCTGAAAGGCATTCAGTCTTAACTCCATAAGCCACCTCCCCCGCATGCCCTGAGAGGAACAGTGAGGCTCCCCCAGTGGACCATGCCTTGGCACTTGCCCCGGTCCCACCCCCTTCTGCCAGAGACCCTCAGATCTGTCCCACTCCTGCCCAGGCCCCCACAGGCACCCTTGACGCAAACGATGTAGAGCTGGCCACACCCACTCCATACACGCCCACCCAGTAGGCCACACCCACCCGGCCCCCTGAGGGCAACCGCAATGTTGATGCGGTCCTCAATGAAGTTGAGTTTGACACCCCTGGTCTAAATCATGGGTGTCAAATTCAATCAAGTCACGTGATGTATCGTGATATATCGCGACACTTTTTGCCTTTGCGGAGGTGGAGTGGGTGTGGCCAGCGTGTGACGCATCTGGCCCGTGGGCCGTCAATTTGACACCCCTGTTATAGATTTATCCAACGGCTGTCTGGGATGTAATTCTTCCTCCTGTCCCCCAAAGCCATTCCCTCTGCCTCTTATAAGCATCCTCCAAGCCTTCTTTTTCCCTTAAATGTGGATCTTTTCAGATCCTTTGGCTAAGCACCAATATACAGTTTAATCATTCAAGCAAGGTTTCCTCCGATGAACATCTCAGGATGTGTTTTAAGATTGAGATATCCGAGAGGATATTCTAAGCATTTATAATCCCCATCTCCCACCCACCCCTTGCCCCAGAATAAAATCTGAAGCAGCTGTACACATCAAGCTATAAGACCCTTTAAGAAGCTACATCACAAATAGCAAGAAACAGTGGCTGTTTCTACTAAAATATATTCAAAAACCTCCCAAAGTATTCCTGTTAAGATAAAACCTGATGAAATGACCAATGGTAATTGGTTGAAATGACAGAAAAATCAGTGATGTTTTTATAATAGAGATAGTCCTCAAGTTATGGTCATTCATTCAGCGACAGTTTGAAGTTACAATCAGGCACAAGGCCAGCCCGGTGACCTTGGCCCAGTCACTCTCCCCCAGCTTTAGGAAGGAGAAGATAAGAGCAACTGCTTCTGAAAGTCTTACGAAGAAAAAACTCCGGCAACTAGTCCAGAACATGGCCAGGAGTCAGCAACCGACTCAAAGGCACACACAGGCAGTCCTTGACTTATGACCACAATTGAGCCCAAAATTTCTGTTGCTAAGCAAGGCAGTTAGTTGAATTCGTAAGTGAATTTTTTACCCCATTTTACAATCTTTCTTGCCAGAGTTGTTAAGTGAATCACTGCAGTTGTTAAGTTAGTAACACGGCTGTTAAGTGAATCAGGCTTCCCATTGACTTGGCTGGTCAGAAGGTCGCAAAAGGGGATCGCAAGAACCTGGGACACTGCAACCGTCATAAATACATGCCAACTGCCAAGAGGCCAAATTTTGATCACGTGACCACAGGCATTCTGCAATGGTTGTAAGTGTGAAAAGAGCAATAGCACTTATATACCGCTTCATAGTATTTTACTCTGAGCTAGAGTTCCCCAACCTTTCCGGCTTTGTGGACTGGAGGGGGGGGGGAAGGTGTTGGTTCCGTGTAAGCGGCTGGAAAGTACGCAC